ATCGACTCTGTCTGTTCGTCTGGGCAACGGGCCCCTGTCGATGCAAAGCGTCCTCGTTGGCAAGTCAGCGTGCGTTCGTGTCACGTCGTCCGACTCGTTGTTCGCTTGGTTCGGTCTCTCGTTCACGCCCACGACAAATATGACCAACGCACCGACCAACAACGCGATCGTGTACCAGCAATGAGTCCCGTTCGTGCAGGTATTCGACCTGAACGACTCTGCGCCGGTCGCTGACCGTGGCGAGGTTGCAAGGTGATATTGTAACTTGGGGAATACTTTACACGTGCAACTTTACTCGAAATTGACCAATCAGATGATAGTGTCGGATTTGCAGAGTTTTCCATACACAAGTTATTCCAATAAATGATACACAACCTCACACCGAGACCTGCGGAACAGCACATACGTACTTTGCATCCATACAAAGAGATGTTGTCCGCTGGTTCAGAGCGACCGCCACTCTATCGCAACTGCATTTTCGTGGGTGGCAGACAGCGCCTCGTTGAATGCCTATATTGGACGAACTTTGCCCGCCATGGAGCCTCGCACCGCCGTACACATATACAGATAGCACCACCATTGCGACACCCACAAAAAACATCGGCGATAGTTGGTCGTCAAACAGGTAGTTGGACAGCACGCAGCCTAAGACGAGTGAAAACGCCGTGCCAACGTTCTTGACGCCGTTGTCCGAGTACCAAACGACGGCAGACACGAAGAGATCGCCGCACGCTTGCAGCCACACGACGCCCCATGTAAATTTGGTATACCCGTTGAAAAAGACAAAGCTGAGGAACATGCGTGGCAGTGTGAGGGACTCCCGCAAACGCCACGATCACCGACACACTTGCGAGTTGGATGTTCGTTTTCCACATGGGGTCGATGGGCGTGTGGTCGCGAAGGATGACGTCGGACAGACGGCGGGTTTGTGCGTTACCTTCTCAAAATACGCCGCAGTCACACCAGAGTGCAGCCAAGAGCACCATTTTCAATTCCATCCACGTTTTGGCAGATCACTTTCCTGTATGCACAAGGATATGCGGGGATATCACCTGAAGGGTCGCCTCGAGGCCAGAGATAGTACGTTCGTAAAGCCCGCGAAATATCTCATCCAGGCTCCGCGGCAGTCGGGACGGCGATCTTGCCAGCGCCCGATCGCTTGCAATTGCGTACACACGTGGATGAAACCGCTCTCTGTTGTGTGTTGGGCATATCCGAATATTGGACGGGTATCCGGACGACGCCACGTCAACGACAAGCATAAATTGTCTGTTTTGCTGATTCTCGTCAGGTCCTCCGCTTGTCACGGATGCAGTTGACGGCCCATGATGGATGGTATGCAATGAGTCGGTCCAACGATCAAAACACGGAGCTCTCAAACATTTGATAACCCCACAGCGCGAGTAATAATTGCACCTGTGCCAGCGCGGTCATACAAAATTCAAGGGACCAACCTGGCCTCGATACTCAAAGCCACTACACCTCGGTTCCCGCTTGATTCATGAGAAATGGTTATCCAGTACGTACGGATGTACTATTTTTCTTTTGGTTCGTATTGGAACGTACCGTACACCCAATCGTCAGGGACTGACGTTGCGTGAGCCGGGCCAATGCACTGGGGAAAGATCCGAATCCAAGTGGTCGGCTCCGTGGCGCGATGCCTGTACTGTATTCTGACTAGGAAATATCCCATTCGGTTCAGATGAGCCACCGGCAATGGGATCCATCCGATGGGTGCCTCGGCGATATTGGGTGCGCCGTGCCGACCGGATCAGACCGGTGCAACCTTGATGTTGCGCGGATGATGCTGGTGCACAAGCGACCTGGCGGCCAGCAGGGCCGCGCCATTCTCGGATTTACTTTTCGCCATGAAAGTCACCGCCGCTGTGTTGTCGATCGCCACGGCCAAGGCCAAGGTGTCTGTCGACGTCTTGCGGTCATTGGAAGTGAGCGACACAACTGATGTGTTGATCGGGTTCGTTGGCCCCAACTTGGACAGCGTGCAGGAAGCTGCACCCCAAGACCGCCGCCAGGCTGTGTTCGACCGCTTGACCGCGCACTCCGTCAAGATGAAAACCGAATCCGCGACGGTGCTTGACTCGGGCAACTGCAAGCACTACTGGATTGCATCCGCCGCCGTCTGCCGTGGTTTAACCAAAGCCCAGGTTGAAGAAGTGTCCCGACTTCCTGCCGTCAAGACTATCCAAACGCCTGATGATGTGCACTTGATTTCCCCCATTGTGAAGGAAGGCTCGTCGATCCAAGGCGACGTCAACTCGACGGTGCCGCAGTGGGGCATCAGCACGATCGGTGCCCCCGCCATCTGGAAGTACTTCAAGGGCAAGGGCGTCGTCGTCGGCTCCATTGACACCGGTGCCGAGTACCGCCACGAAGCCATCAAGAACAATTGGCGTTCGAACAAGGGATGGTTCAACCCGTACAATGGCACAGCCATTGAGTTTCCCGTCGACTCGGCCCAACATGGCACTCATACCATCGGTACCATGGTTGGTGGCAACGGCATCGGTGTCGCCCCGGAGGCCCAATGGATCTCGTGCATGGGGCTGTACATCAACTCGGGGTCGTCGGAAGCGTTGATGGAGTGCGGTCAATTCATGCTGTGCCCCACTCGCCTCGATGGCACGCACCCTGAATGCAAGCTCGGTGCGGACGTCATCAACAACTCGTGGGGCTCCAACCGCGGGTACAATCCAGTCTACGAAGGCATGATCTCGTCTTGGCGCGCCGCCGGCATCACCCCTGTGTTCTCGAACGGGAACTCGGGCCCTGCCTGCGCCACGACGGGGAACCCCGGCATGTATTCGCGCGTCATTTCAGTCGGTGCGATCGGTTCGTATGAAAATGACCCGACCCAGTTGGCATTCTTCAGTTCCAAAGGTGTCGTGCACTACACAGACTACCAGAACAAGACCGTCACCCTCGTCAAGCCCGACATTTCGGCCCCTGGTTTCTACACCCGATCGGCCGATGCTCTCAAATTGGATGGGTACCTCGAAATGGCCGGGACGTCGATGGCCGCTCCCCACATTGCTGGTGTCGTCGCTTTGTTGAAGAGCGCTCAATCTGACTTGACCTACGACGAAATCTACAACTACTTGACCAAGACCGCGGACCGTGACGAAGTTCTCAAACCTGAACCAGAATTCTGGTACTTTAAGAACGGCACTGTCCGTGCCCCGGGCGCCCCCAACTGCAATGGTACGTCGGATGCCTCGTGGCCCAACAACCGATACGGTTTTGGCCGGGTAAACGTCGGCACGATCTTGCGCGATGGTAAGTTGAACGACACACCTACCAAGGTGCCCACCACCGTCGCCCCGACTCCCCAGCCCACGTCGGCCCCCACAACTACTCCTTGCCCCACCAGCATCACCCCCAAGCCCACGTCGGCCCCTACTACTACTCCTTGCCCCACCAGCATCACCCCCAAGCCCACCACGACCATGGCGACGCCAGCACCTACCACCGTCAAGCCGAGTGTGTGCGAAAAGGCCGTGGACGGTATCGACTACTTTGGCAACGACATCAAGTCGACACAACGCCAAAACCACGAAGACTGCTGCGACGACTGCTCGAAGACTCTTGGCTGCGTCGCGTATGTGTGGACTCCTTGGAACGACGGCACGTGTTTCTTGAAGTGGAAGGCGGGCGCGACTGCTCCTTACTGGGGAGCCAAGGCTGCCAAGGTCAAGAATCCCGTCGGCTCGTGCGAGAAGCCTCAGCCCAACACGGACTACTACGGCAACGACATTGCTCGCATTCCTGCCGATGCGGAAGACTGCTGCAGCTTGTGCTTGACCAATGACAACTGCGCCGGGTACTCGCACTACCATGGCATTTGCTACCTCAAGTCCAAGCTGTCGTCCGCCACCGCGAAGGATGGCGTCACCTCTGGTGTCCGTGTCCGCTAAATCCAGCCACTTGCCCCACTCGTTGAATTTGGTAGACATCAGTGGTTTTGCAACATGTTGATTCTCCGAATTTGTACTTGCATGTTGACGTCTGTCGCCTACAACTTCTCATCCCGTGCTGTTCCAGTAATCCCCGTGTCTTGCTTTCGTGTGGTGGTATGCCGCCATCAGGGAAAAGGATCCTAAGACCTTGACGGAATATGTGCGGCACACATGCTCCCGCTCAGTCGACGGGACCTGGCCGTGTGTGGTACCATTGCGATGAATGTGCACTTGTGGTTGCTTTCGACACGGTGGCCGAGTCCAGGTTGGTTGCGCATTACGCCGAAAATTGACCATGGTGCCGGGGAGGATGTTATCAAGGCAAGAGTTGCTCGTCGATTGCACAGTTTGATGTTTCCTCGTCACACATCGCCGACGATCCCAAATTCACAAGATTATGTAGAATGGATTTATCAGAGGTACAGTGATCCCCCAAGTTTTGCAACACTTCAAGAATATACGTTTCTGAAGGCAATTAAAGAAACAAAGAACAAACAAGAATTCATTTTAAGAGACCATTGGATGCAGATATTGATTAAGTTGAGCAAGGTATTAATTTATACCAGTTCGCAAACCTTGGGGGACTACTGTATTACGTGAACAGGTATTGGGCATCAACCAGGCAGGGGTCGTTTACTCGTACAGTAGTTCCCCGCAATAACGAACCTTTGTTGGCGATATGGTTTACAGCATCTGCACCGGTGCCAATAAAATCGACTCCAATATCCGTCACTGGATTTCGCACCGCACACACAAATCGCCAAGTTGAGTCACCATTTCGAGCACAGATGGAGACGTTTGCGTGGGGCTCTGACGGCGACAGCGACAGCGACTGGGACGCTGATGTCGTCGTCGCCCTCGTGATGCAGTCCCAAGTGCAACACGACTTGGCACGAGCACGGCAACGACGAGGCTCTCGTCGTGGGAAACGAGCCAACATCCATAGGGGCCGAGCTGAGTTCGACAGGCTACTGCGTGCAGACTACTTCGACGCTTCCCCCACGTACGACGACAGCCACTTCCGGAGGCGATTCCGCATGCAGAAAAGCCTCTTCCTCGAAATTGCGCGAGATCTCGCTCAACATGACCCGTATTTTGAGCAGAGGAGTGAT